GTGTGTGTGTGTGTGTGTGTGTGTGTGTGTGTGTGTGTGTGTGTGTGTGTCTGTGCGTGTGTGTGTGTGTATGTGTGTGCGCGCGTGTGTGTGTGTGTGCGTGCTTGCGTGCGTTTGTGTGAGTAACAGAAAGATAGTTACAGAAAGAAAAAGAGAAAGAGCGATAGAGATAGAAATGTCGTGAACGAAAGGTGTAAAGAAACATGCTATTAGGTTATAGAAGTCCGTAAAAAAAGTTCCTAAAGTTTCGTTTAGTATTGCGACTAACCATCGCGTTAGAGTAGCAGTCGTAAAGCTTGCCCCGGATTAGTCAGTTTTGCGACTTTAACGAGAAGTCGCTCATCTCCTAGTTTCCCACGATTTACAGCCGCTATGTGCTAGACCTTCCTTCTTCTGATATTTCTTTCGTCTGCGTCGAATTAGCTTCTTCCGTTCTAGATTTCTTCCTACGATATTTTCTCGTTTTTCTACGTACTAACTTCTCCCTATCTTCCTCTGATATTTTCTTCTTCGCCTCCGAACTAGCTTCGCTCATAATAGATTCTTTCCTCTGATATTTTCTCCTTTTTCTACGAACTAGCTTTTCCCGTGATGGATTTCATCTTCAGATATTTCCTTTTTTCTACGAACTAGCTTTTCCCGTGCTATATTTTTTCCGCCAATATTTTCTTTTTCAGATATTTCTTTTTTTTATACGAACTGCTTTCTCCCGTACTAGATTTCTTTCCCCGATATTTCTTTCTGCTCCTCCGTGCTGGCTTCTCCTCCATCGCACTGGCGCCTCCGTCGCCTCCTCCGCCACCGTTCGTCGCTCCCGATTTTCTTTTATCGCCGATGATTTTTATTCTGGGCGTCGATAAGTGACGTAATACAAGCGGATGGCTCGCCGCCGCATCTCCGCTTAATTGCTCGAGCACGCAGACGATAATATGTTTTACGGCTTCAGCGGGAGAGCGGCGGGAGAGCGGCGGGAGAGCGGGGGGAGACGGGGAGAGTGGGGAGAGCGGGGAGAGCGGAGAGAGCGGAGAGAGAGGGGAGAGTGGGGAGAGCGGGGAGAGCGGAGAGAGGAGGGGAGAGGCGGGGAGAAGAGAGAGGATGGAGAGGTGAGGATAGAGGGAGAGGTAGAGACAGGGGAGACGAGAAAGAGGAGAGAGAAAGAGAGAGAGAGAGAGAGAGAGAGAGAGAGGAGAGAGAGAGATGAGAGAGTAGAGAGAGGAGGAGAGAGCAGAGAGGAAGGAGGAGAGAGGGAGAGGAGAGAGGAGGTTGAGAAGAGGGAGACGAGAGGAGAGAGAGAGAAAGCGGAGAGAGAGAGGAGAGAGAGAGAGAGATGGAGAGAGAGAGAAGAGAGAGGAGAGAGATGAGAGATGAGAGAGATTAAGATGAGGATAGGAGAGAGATAGAGAGAGATTAGACGAGAGATAAAGAGAGATAGCAGAGAGATGAGCGAGATGAGAAGATGATAGATGAGCGAGAGAGAAGAGGTGAGCGAATGATAGAGAAGAGAGAGAGAGATAGAGGAGAGACGAGAGATTTAGAGATAGAGATGAGAGAGCAGAGATAATAGATGAGATTAGGAGATGAGATATGAGAGTAGATTATGAGAGACGCATAGAGAGATAGAGAGAGATAGAGTGATAGACGATAGAGGAAGATAGAGAGAGAGAGAAGAGAGAGGAGAGAGAGAGAGAGAGATAAATAGAGCATAACTAGAAGAGATAGAGAGAGATAGAGAGAGAATAAGAGAGATAGAGATAAGAGAGAGATAAAGAGAGATAGAGAGAGAGCAGAGAGAGAAGAGAGATTAGAGAGCGGAGGAGAGGAGGAGGCGAGAGATAGAGACGAGAGAGATAGATGAAGAAGAAGAGAGGATCAGAGATAGAGAGAGAGAGAAGAGATAAAGAGAGATAGAGAGAAGATGGAGTAAGATAGATGAGAGGATAAAGATGAGATAGGAGATGAATAGAGATAGATAGAGATGAGATAGCAGAGAGGAAGAGAGAGAGAGAGAATAGAGATAGAATGAGAGATAGAGAGCAGATTTAAGAGAGATTGGAGGATTTATTAGAGAGTAGATAGAGACATCCTCACGCCTCTCGTCCGTATGCGAGACGGCACG